TCTGGACATCTGCACCTCCACCATCTTCAGGCTCAAGGCTCACCTCCCTCTCTGAGCACCTGCAAGGTCACTTGCCCACCTTAAGCCCTGATCTGTATGCTAGCACAGAAAGTGAGTTTTCTCTCCAACAACACACCACAGAAATCCGTGCACGTCTGTGCTGAGTGCTGCTCTGGTCACAGCAGCCAGGAGACGGAGTGTGTGTGTGACATACAGACAACGGAAATGTATGCAGTCATAAATAAAAATAAAAAATTTGATGCTCCACGAGGGCACATATGTCATTCAGTTTTGTTTGTTCACAACACGGGGCAAGAAGACAGATTCTGCCACGCATGCCTACACACACACTCCCTGCCCCTCCTCCTGCAACATACATTTCTGATAAGTGCAACATTTTCTCTTAATATTAGAAAGCAACACATCCGTGGGTGTGCTGACTCATGCTTGAATTCCAGCACTTGGGAGACTAAGAAAAGAAGATCACTAGTTTGAGGCCAGTCTGGGCTGTGCAAAGTGAGACCTTGTCTGAAAAATCTAGAGTCGAGGACCCGGATATAAGTGACACTCCTTCAACCACCTGATTTTGGACAAAGAGGCCAAAACAGCATCTTCAAGAAATGGTGCTGGGAAAACTGGTTATCTACGTGTAGAAGAATGAAACTTAAGCCTTGACCCTCACTCTGTACAAAAGTCAATTCCAGATGAATTAGAGACCTCATGATAGACTTGAAACTCTTAAGTCTTCTAGAGGACTGGAGTACATTCAGGATACAGGGCAGGATAAGGGCTTTCTGAAGAAGACTCTGGTAATACAGGAAATAGGAACATTAATCAACTGACAGGAACATATGAGATTAAAAAGCTGCTAAACTGTGAAGGAAGCTGTTAATTGACCGAAGAGGCAGCCTACAGAATGGGGAAATAAATCTTTGCCAGCTATACAGCTGACAGAGGATCGGTGTCTAGAATATACAAAGAACTGAAAAACTAAGCACCAACAAAGCAAACAACCAGTTAAAGAATGAGCTATGGAACTGAGAGTTCTCAAAAGAAATACCAATGGCTAAGAAGAGTTCAACACTGTTAGCTATCAGGGAAACACAAATTAAAACTACTTTGAGATTTCAGAATGGCTAAGAACAAGAAAATAAATGACAATAAATGCTGGTGAGGATGTGGGGAAAGGGGCCCCTCATTCACTCTTGGTGGGAGTGAAAACTGGTACAGCCACTATGGAAATCAGTGTGAAGATTCCTCAAAAAGGTAAAAACAGATTTGCCATATGACCCAGCTATTCCACTCTGAGGCACACACCAAAAGGACTACATCCTACTACAGAGATACTTGCTCACCCATGTTCAACTCTAGTCACAATAGCTAGGAAATGGGAACAGCCTAGACAGGAGGATTATCTGATGAACAGATAATAAAAATGTGATATATATATGTATATAAAATGGAATTTTATTCAGCTGTAAAGAAAAATGAAATTATGAAATTTTCAGCTAAGTGGATGGAACTGGAAATAATTATAATGAGTGAGTTAACCTAGACCCAAAGAGGCAAATGTCACATGTTCTCTCTTCTATGTGGATCCTGATGTCTAATCCTTAGATTTGTGTATTTATCTGTAGAAGCTAGGAAAGTAGAAAGGGCTACTGGGGGTGGGAAGAGAAAGGTTTTAGGGGAGGGAGGATAGTAGGACACAGGTGGTATGAGGGGAGAGAGGGGAATGATGGGTGGGGGGGTCAAGTAGGGAAAGGCATGGGAGGGTGCAGAAGGAGTAGGAGAAACTAAAGATGCTTGAAAACGACATATGAAAACTTACTATTTCATGTTATGTTATTATATTATGTGTTTTATACATATTATATAAAGAGTTTAAATGGAGGGGGACTGGGGAAGGATGGCTCAGCAGTTAAGAGCACTGGCTGCTCTTGCAGAGGATCTGAGTTTGATTCCCAGCACGCACATGGTGACTAACAACTGTCCTAACTCCAGTTCCAGGAGATCCAATGCCCTCTTCTGCCATCCATAGGCATTGTATGACATGGGTACACCTACACACATGCAAGCAATACAGTTATACACATAAAAATAAAATGTAGGAAAATAACTTAATAAAAAGAGTTTAAATGGTTACCCTACACAAAGGATAATGTTCCTTCCAGATGCCATAGGCTATTAAACAAAAATCTCAGTGCCAAGTGTAGGATACCTCATTTCAAGTTATTAGTTAGGGGAATCTCATCGATCCTTCAAAGCAATATTGGTTAATGCCATTGTGCTTGATTACCCACCAGAACTTGTTGGAAAATGCTATTGCTAGCTGGAGGAGGTTGTGCAGTTGTGCATACCTTTAATCCCAGCACTTGGGAGGCAAAGGCATGTGATCTACATACATAGCAAGTTCTAGGTCAGCTGGTGCCACAGGGATACCCTGTCTCAGAAACAAAACAACAACAACCAACCTTATCGCTGAAGACACCACACATATTGGTCATAGGACATTGGGTAATCAAGTCAGTACTGACCAGGAATCTTCCTCTCTGCTAGATAGCTCCCATGATACTGGAAGGGTCTATGCAGACTGCTAGTGGAGAAACCATCAACAGTCTTGTCAGCTATAAACCCTGTAAGCTACCATAATGACCGGCATGGCAAGCCATGCCCATATGTGTAATAGTGGCATGCATGTTACAGGGGTAACCAGTTGGTTTTGATTTAGGTCTGATCCACAGGAGGAAACATACACTTGGTATTGCAAATCTGGTCAAGAACCCATGGGTGGGGAGCTCACAGGATTCTATAACAGGGCTGAAACTACTCCTACTATTTTGCTAAATGGACATATCTAACTGCCCTCCAAATTCATATCTCTCTACTCACAGATCAGTTCAGCTTTAACCCCTACCAGAGGTGCTTCTTTTTATCATGCAGGGAGGTTAATACAGAGATTCACTACTAGTCAAAGTGCAGAGAATAAGTATCTGGAGTGTTCATCTCTAATACTACATCTCTATCACACCTTTACTTCAAGGCTCAGGGAACAGTGCAGAAAAAGGGGTGGAAAGATTCTCAGAGCCAGAGGTTGGAGAGGGCTGCTGGGACACAGTGTCTTCTGGATGTGATGAGGCCATTGACCTCATGAACTCACAGCAGCTGTGATTGCTGGTATCAAACCTGCACAAGATCAAGCCACCCAAAATTTGAGCATGGGATGGGGAGGAACTCACAAGGGCCCACCCCTAGCTGAGTGGCCACTAGCAGCTGATGGCTGCTAGTAGAGGGAGGGTCATTTTTTCCTCAGGGTTGTCCCTGGTAGGTTGTCCATGCTCCAACAGGTGGTCCTATGTCCATGTACATTTGGATAGCACTAATTAAAGTTAGTGGTCTATGAAAAAAAACATGAAGTTGGGAGGGGGATGTGGTAGTGAGAGGTTTGGGAGGGCCTGGAGAGGGGGAAGAGGATGAGTATAATCAAAATACATTGTACACGTATATGAAGTTATCAACGAATAAATGAAAATATATTTTTTTAAAAAAACAAGATATAAAAAAGAAAAGAAAGCAACATCTCATACATATATTTGTTCTCTCTGAAGAGGAATTTCCAGACCAAGGGGAGTGTGGCATCCTCTGGAGGATGCTCTGCAGAATGAAGCCCAATTCTCCCCAGGGAAATATAGTAGAAGAGTGTTCAGAAAACAGTCTGTCTTGCTGACTGCAGTGCCATCCTGGGGCTCATTCCTGATTCAAACAGCTGGTGTTAAAATGATCTCAGGCTCATCCCCAGGACTCCCTTGTTTAAGCCCCATAGGAAGACTCTCAGGGAGCTAGTCTTTGCATGACCTGTCTTCTCCTTTCTTCTTGAGGCCTTGCAGTCGACTCTTACTCTCTTCTAAAAGCTGCTCCCACATATTTATTGGGGTTGGGGGAGTCATATCCCTGAATTCTATCCAAGAATGGATCTAAAGTACAGTAGTGCCTTTAAGAACTTATCCTCCTTAACACTCATGAGGCTTCAATAGGCCTATGTTTAGTGCATTACTTTTCTGTTGCTGTGATAAAACACCATAACCAAGGCAACTTATAGAAGGAAGAGTTTATTTAGGCTTACGATCTTTTATGCTTTGAACATTTTTTCATTCAGTTATTCGAACATACCATCATAGCTCATTTAAAATGCTTTTCTACTCAGCTCAGTATCTGAGACACCTCAGGTTGGGTAGTTAGTTTTCTTAACTATAGATCACATTTTCTCTCTTCCTTGTTTGTGTGCAAGGTTTTAAAATTGAGTAATGAATATCATAAATAACATGTTACAGTATTCCAAATCTTATCCTTCTTCTGAAGAATGTTAATTCTTGTTCAGCTGACCCCTCCATTATGGTCTATGACCTTGAACTTGGGTAAATTTAGTTTTGTCCTTTGATATAAGACCTAGGAAAGCCCAAGATGTTTTGCAAGCCCCGTGCCTTGAAGAGTAAGATTCAGTCTATTCTTTTTTCAGAGTTAAGCTTCAGGCTTCCTGGCAATAGATCTGGAATGGGCCTTACTTGAGACATGGGGATGTCCAACTTTTAACATTTGCAGTATGACACTGTCATCTACAAACGCCATCTACGATGCTGAGCCACATTCTTAGCTACCCTGGGATAGCTGCTGGAGCATGTGTTGACTCTCATGCCTGTCTTGCCTACTCCATACTTTTTTTTTTTTTTTTTTTAAACTATGTGGCCTTTTATTTTTACTTGGCTTGTTCAAAAGAAGTCATCAAGTTTTAATGTTTCAAAGGGAGAGTGACATACACGAAAACAAAAACTTTTAGCTTAAAAGAAACTTAAGTGTCATGGGAGCCTGGTTGAAGAACTGGTTAAGAAGAGAAATACACTGGATTTCTCTAGAAAGCTTTGAAAAGTTCACTGGGGGGAGAGTATATTTCCCAGGCTCAAAGTGATATGGGGAGGGGGGTGTTCACAGTGCTAGATACAAGGTCACTTGCCAAGAGCCTTGGAACAGATCTTTCTGTCACACAAGGCAGGTAAGAGAGAGTGGGACAGCAGGAAGTAATCAAGCCGACATTCTTAGACCTAGCATTCATCACGTAAGTCCAAAAAGCGTAAGCATAGGCAGAGTTGGGGTAGAGGTGCCGAAAGCTTTCGGCCAGTGGTACCTCTTGCAGCAATTCACGGAAACCTTGCCGCTCTTGGGGAGTGAAGCCAGCGTTCTTTTTGTTTCCCTTGGGGTTACAAAGATCAATTTCTTCATGAGCCACATTGAGGTCCCCACATAGCACAAGAAGCTTACGGGAAGCCAAGCCCTTCAGAAACTTTCTGAAGACTTCATCCCAGCGTTGCCGGTACTCCAGTCTCACCAGACCTCGGCCTGCATTGGGTACACAGGCTGTAATCAGCACAAATGACTCATGCTCTTCCTCACCTATAGAAATAAACTGAGGATCAGCATAACAGAGCAAGAAAGGGAAAAGCATAGAACAAAGGGGGGCGGGGACAGTATTAACTGAGGAAAGCTTAGACGTTAGGAACCAACAGAGTCTCACCAATGCCATAGGACACTTTGAGTGGGCACTGGCAGGAAAGCAGACCCACACTACTCTAGCCTTTGTCGGAGGGAGCTGACCAGTACTGATGAGAAAGTCCAGGCAGCTCTTGAAGTTCAGCTGGTAGTTTGTTTTCTGAACATTTGGTCTCTTGGAGGCACAGGATGTCTGGGGCTTCTTCCTTCACCCAATCTAAACCTTTCTTCTTAATCCAGGCTCGAAGCCCGTCCACATTCCAGGAGCATATCTTGATTGTAGCGGATTTGCCACTGGGCGAGGTTTTCTGAGCTGGAGGGTCCTCATACAGAACCGCGCCCTCTCCTGTCGTCTCTTCCCCGCTTTTCTTTGCTCCCACCTTACTCTTCTTGGTCTCTGGCTCCCGCTGGGGCTCTTCCCCGTCTTCTGCCGCCACTCCCTTTTTCCCACGCTTTGGCATCCCTGTGACGAAATATCTCCAGGGCCCGGACCACGCCGAGCATTACTACTTTGCCTCCGGGCACAGCCAAGAATCCTCACCAAAGCACAAAGAATGGAGAGCACCTGTCCCCACGTAGGAGGCTCCATACTTTTAAAATAAAGCCTTACTAGAACACAAACATGCAATCCACTCATACATTGTCTATAACTGATTTTATGTTACCATGACAGAGCCCAATACTTACTATAAGCTAGACCATATGGAACTATATAGTCAAAAGAATTTGCTATATATTATGCTCTTTTATTTTATTTTTAGTTATGTGTATGTGTGTGTGTGTGCGTGCGTGCGCGTGTGCATGTGGGTATGTGCATGTGTATGTGGGTGCCCATGGAGGACAAAGGCAACAGATCATCCAGAGCTGGAGTTACAGGGGGTCGTGAGCTGCCTAACACAGGTGCTGGGAACCAAACTCAGGTCCTCTGTGAGAGAAGTAGGTGCTCTTAACTGCTGAACTATCTCTCTAGTCCCACTATGTTATGCTTTATGAACAAGGTTTATTGACTGTGGGTCTAGATCTTAGTCTTTGTTCCTAAAGGAACTCTTTCTGGTATATCTGCTGGATTCTGGGCTGTTAACGAATGTGACTGATGCTTCCTCACTGTTTGGGGTTCAGAACTCCAGTCTCTTGGCAGGACTCTTCCCAGACACAGTATTAATCTATAGCACTGCACACACTCTACACCTTCCCTGCCATTGTAGCAGCAATCTGCTAAGCCCCAGGTGGTCTCTGTTTCCTTACAGCCCAGTGTTCAGTCATGGTCTTGGGATTCTGAGCAGTCCCCCTCTGCATAGGATCCTTCTTGCTAAAGCCCTATGCAGACTTAGCTATTTCAACACACCATTCTATATCTACTCAGCTCAACTTAGAGGTTCTGATTGGATTCCAGCTCTGTTTGCTGTGTCGAGGAAACTGTCCTTGAAAATTTAGCGTTCCCCTTAAAAGGTTAGGGTTAGTTTCTCTCTCAAGGTTGCCTGTCATCAGCTGCCAGCAAACAGTTAAAGCAAATGTTTGTCCAGTTTTACAGTTTTGCAGCTGGAGGACTAGCCTGGCAGTTGTTAAGCCATCATGACGATCCGCACCTCTTAGCAGATGGTATCTTTCATAGTCTGTGCCTCAGTGTCTCACACCCCCTCCACCTCAAAGCCCCACGTGTCTTTTCTTCTTCAAAGTGATGGGTTCAGTGGAGTGGCGCACACCTTTAATCTCAGCATGGGAGGCAGAGGCAGGTGGATCTCTGTGAGATAGAGACCAGCCTGGTCAAGTTCCAGGCCAGCTGGGGCTCTAGGGAAACAAAACAAAACAAAATACAAAACAAAAGTGGTCAGGTTCACTTAGGAATCTGCTGCTGATTTTCTTTTCTCTCTCCTAGGGACATCTCCAGTTCACAGCCCTTTAGCAAAAAGAACAGCTAACACCGGCTATACTTAATGGCTAACAACCCTTTAAGACTGGTAACCAGTTCCACCCACCTTTGTTCCCTTTTGTTCCCTAGGATGACTCAGTACAATGTCCACACACCGTTCACAGTGCTGAGCTTTGAGGGTTATACTTCACAGCAACGGAAAACCACATTACTAGTAATGTGAATGCACATTTCCTTTTGAGGAAGAAGATTGCTTGGTCGCTGGCTCATGTGCAAGGAAACCAATTGGTAATTCAGTCAATTTTCATCATAATAAGCCAGGAAAGATAGAAAGACAATGATGTGTCAGATTCTTTCATATATTTAGTATCTTTAATTATTGCCCCAGGCTCAAAGAGATACATTATTAATCTTCATTTCAAATAAATGAAAAATTTGAGACTTTGAGTGATGATGTCATTTATACTAATTTACAAAAGCCCCCCATGGTGTCCTGAAGCCAGGGTGTGTCTTCCAGGCATCAGATGACTTCACCAAAGATGTGACTTTTCCCTCTCCTTGGTGGGACTCTAGTACACAATATAAGTTTTAGCCTGAAATTAGCTTGTCTGCAGAAGCCAAGAATGAAGATACCAGTGTTGTCAGTTAGGAAGGCAAATTTCTAATTGCCTTTCTCTAATCTTAAGAACCTATTGTCAATTAAACACTTTTCCTGTCTATGTCTGCGCTCGCATGTATGTGTGTGTGTGTGTGTGTGTGTGTGTGTGTGTGTGTGTGCGCAGGAGAACACACCCTTATGAAGAGGCCATAGGAGGACCTCAACTGTCCTGCTCTACCACTCTCCACCTTATCCACCCAAATAACAGGGTCTCTCACTGAAGCTGGAGCTAAGCTAGCCACCAGCAAGCTCCAGAGATCCTCCCATTCCAGCTCCCCATAGTGCTGGGGTTCCAGGCTCAGAAGGCCTCACCTGGCTTTTTATGTGGGTGTTGGGATCCGAACTTGGGTCCTCATGCTTGTATAGCTAATGCCCTTACCCACTGAGCCATCTCTTCAGACCCCTGTCTTTGTTTTAAAGACTGAGGACTTATGAGAAATATATTATTGTCATGTCTCATTCTCATATTAAAACAATACATTCTTGTAGAATTAAGTAACTTTCTGTGGATGGTAAGTTTCAGAGTCAAGCTCTGACACAGACTGCTAGATTTCAGTTTGTATTTTAAACCTTTAAGCTATACTAATACCCAACTACATCTACTCTAAAACATACAATTCCATAATGCTGGATTTCTAAATAATTCCAGATCATTTTGACCTCTTTAGCTTCCAGGTCCCTATCTCTTTTCCCAGAAAATATAAAAGGCTTTCAAATACTTGGTTCAAATCCGGATTTTAACTCTCTCTCTAAAGATGAGGAAACTAATTCTATTTTTCCAGGGCTGTGAGGGTTAAAACAGCTTTGATCCCAGGGAAGGTGGTCAGATGTTCATTACTTGTGTGATTACAGTAATAAGCAAGCACCCTGAAGATTCCATGGGGCTGGCTATTTAATTTTATCTGCTGGTGGCTGGGGGTGGGGGTGGGATGCATGCTAACTCTCAAATAAAACCTTCATGTATTATGAAGCAAGGCTGCCTAATCGCTCAAGAACAAAGAAAAGGCAACCCACCCCAGCTAACAGAGTAGCTGCCCTTCTACAATTCCAAAGTAAATAAGATCTGTCAGGAAGATGTACAAAAACCCAGGAGGGAAAAAGTTCTAAAGTTATTTGTCAAAAGTTTCACAGGAAAAGCAGAAAAATAGACTGTTAGAGTGTGCGGGGGAACGAGGAGTGGGGGAGAGTTTTAAAGCGCTAGGGAGTGGCTCTTGTTCCAGTGGGTCCTGAGGAAAAGCTACCAGCTTGCTTCAATGGACCAATGAAAACTGGTCTAGGTCTCAGCAACCAGAAAGAGGTGATGAATTTGTTCTCAGGATGGGGGTGGGGATGAGGGTGGGGGTGGAGGGCAGGAGACTTTCTCCTCCCTGCTCCCCCAAGCACCCACTTCCCACTCTAGAAGTGTCCCCAGTCCTTCCTGTGCTCTGTTCTTTGCTTTAAAAGGACTGGGCTAAACTGGAAGGGGTAAGCTGTGTGCTCACAGTGAGACTAACATGCCCAGTGAATCCCAAGAGCACCTTTCTTTGCTCACACTGGGCTCAGAAAGGGCAGCCATGGTGGGTCTTTGGGCCTGGCTCAGGGTGGTGGCAGCCTTTGTCTCTAGAAAGCACAATACAAAGATCCTTTGGGATTACCTCACCCCAGCCCTCTGACTGGAGAGCCAAACCACTATACGGGGAAAGAGACTCAGGAATAATCATGTGTGGGTGGATGGGTTGTTCTCTGTGAATGTGTGTGGGTGTGGTTGTGTATGAGGGGTATGGTTACGTCGTGTGAGTATGGTGTTATGTGTGTATGGCTGCATGTAGGCATGTTTGGTTGTATGGTATGTTGGCAGTGTATGGTTGTGTGTGTGGTGGCTGTGTATGGTTGCATGTGTGGGGTGTGGTTGTGTGGTGACTGTGTTGGCAGTGTATGGCTGCATGTGTGGGGTGTGGTTGTGTGGTAAGTGTGTGCGTTGGCAGTGTATGGTTGTGTGTGTGTTGGCTGTGTATGGTTGCATGTGTGGGATGTGGTTGTGTGGTGTGTGTGTTGGCTGTGTATGGTTGCATCTGTGCGGGTGTGGTTTTGTGTGTGTGGCGGCATGTGTGTGGTGGCTGTGAATGGTTGTATGTGTGTGTGGGGGGCGTGTGTATGTAGGCGGTGGTGAACTAGGTTCAGACCAGCAGAATCCCAAGCTGGGGATTGCGGCAATTTTGCCCAAAGCAGTTCAGGGTGTGGCAGGACTCTGCAGCACTAACCTGGACCTGAACTCCACTGCGACAGGCGCAGTGGAGGAACCGCTGAAGCAGGTTTAAAAGCTCACTGGATCTACCCCTAGCCGAAGCTGGGAAGCTGGTGCCAGACCCCATGGGACTTCTTGGGGCTGTACCGTTTCCCAGGAGCGAGGCTCAGCCCCATTTTCAGTCCCGCCCTCCTGAAGGTCGTATGAAAGTTAAGTGTTCATTCCCCAGAATGAGGCCTGTCCCAGGGCGGGGGGTCTTTCAAGGGGTCTTCTTGCAGCCCCCAGCACTCCGCACTTGGGGCTGGAGCCCTAGCCCTCCTGGCGTGGGAAGCCCGGGGCGCAGCGCGGTTGCGAAGGACCATCCGCAGAGGATGCTGCAGCCGCAGCGGGGGAGGGAATGACTCAGCTCGGCCCCGGGACACGCAGTGCGGACGCGACCCGACGCCGGCCCGAGCCAGGAGTCTGTGGTTGTTACGTGCGACCCTGCTGTCTGTTTGGATCAACGGACGTCCCTTCCTCTCTGCGGCCCTGGTGCATCTTTCCGGGTCACCCATGCTGCCCCCCTAAGTCTGGTCTCTGCAGGTCCAGGGCACCCTAGCGGGAGCATCTCACCCTGTTCAAGCCGTTGCCTCGGGGTCGCCAGGGGAGAGAAAGGACCGTTGTGCCCTTTGTCCAAGGATTGCCCCTCACACTTCTGCAATCAATGCCC